ACTCCTTAACCCATACTGTCTGATGTGGAGGTTGCCTGAGCCCAATTACAAAGCAGATGGCAACCCTGAAGGGATCCAAACTGCACCAAGCTGCACGCTGGTATTATGTATGTATGCATGATGTTTCTGCCTCCTTAAGAAGTTGTGGCTTAAAAGATCATTTGTGTGCTGATGACTCCCATGTTTACACATACAGTCCTGACTTCTCTGTCCAGACTCACGTGTGGAGGTGCCTCTTGCAAACTAAGTTTTAGTCTTCCAATCACTTCAGTTTTAACTCAAACTTCACATGAAATGACTGGAAAATCCTACTAACTCTACCTTCAAAATATGCCCAGAATCTGACCACCTCTCACCATACCTGCTATTACTGTGGGTATCTCATGCCTCTTATGGTTTATTGTATTCACTTTTTACTTCATCCCCTTGCTGCTGTCCTTGATCTCCTATGGTTTTTTCTCAAATACATAGGCAGTGAAAACCTAAGTCAGAGATCAGGCCACTATTTTGTTCACAACCTTTCAATTGCTTTTGATTTTAAAGTAAAACCAAAAGTCCTTTCCAGGATTCTCAGGTCCTCAATCTCTGTGATCTTCCAGCCACACTGGTCTCCTTAGAGCAGCAGCGTCCACCTTAGGGCCTTTGAACTTATCCCCCCAGCCTGCAACACTTTATCCAGGCTACCTACCTAGTTAACATCCTCACTTCCTTCGAGGTAAGGGTTTCACTAGTCATCCTTGTTAAAACTGTATCCCCAGCACTATTCCCTAGTAAGGATAAATTTCACAGGAAGGGTAGCATTTTGGTTGGGACCTTAAAGGTGGTAGAAATAACAGAAAATAAGGTAGATGGCAGGTAGTCAGCAAAAACTGTCCTCCAATGGTTAGTTGATAAGTGATGACACTTTAGTGTAGACTCTAGAACTGAGTTCTGTTGAAATGTCACCTCCTTCTAAGGCAAAAGATTGGTTTGATAACTTATAAACAAAAAACTGCTCTGTATAAATAGCATCAATAAAGGACCAAGATCCCAAAGCAAGACTTGTTATCCTTCTCTAAATCCTTTCCCTACTCCCTAAACATGCCTACTAGTGATGGAGACTATTTAGCTACTAGTGGTTTTATTTTTAAATTGGAAAAAATGATCCAGTTATACTTGGCAATATTCACAAAAGGATGTACTAATCAAGAAAAATATATCAAAGGTAATGAACTATCTTCATCTGCACATTGTGAACCAGTTAAGAATGCTCATGTATAAAGTCTGATGGTTTTGTCCTTTTGAGAGTTGTGCAGCTTAAACTTTCTGATGGCCTTTAAATATCTGTGGATAAGAATTGAGAAAATATTTCCACAGTAATTTAAAAAAAATAAAATCTGTAGACAGTAATGCCAGTCTTAACATTTACAAAGATTATACACTGAAGTATTAATAATTTCCCTTTCATTAACCATAGCCAAGAGCTAAATATCATTTTGTTAACCAGAGTCTGTATTGGGAGCTCTGGTAATGTAGTGCCTAAGGCACTTGACTGCTAAGCTGAAGGCTGGCGGTTCAAACCCACCAGCCACTCCTTGGAAGGAAGATGGGGCAATCTACTTCCGTAGTGATAATGTCTCAGAAACCC